ATCAGTTCTCATTTTAATTTGTTGTAAAGGTGAGAAATTGAGCCCAACTGCAGAGATGTGAAATAGCAAGATGCTTTCCCACCCTGCCTCCAAAGGTCTGGCCATAATTTAATAATAATAATAATAATAATAATAATAATAATAATAATAATAATAATAATTTAATAATTATTTAATGAAGCATCAAATATAATCTGGGAATTTCAGAGAAGGAAAGCATTTGAGTCATACATAGGTTTTCTAACATCACAGTTTAAAATATTTTTTATTATATTTTGAGAATTCCATACAATGTATTTTGATAACATCCACACACCACCACCCCTATTCTCCCCAATCCAACCCTCACCTCTCTATGCACCCATAGATAGAATAGAATAAAATAAACTAGAATAAAAAACAGGGCAGGATGTGTTCTATCCTTAATTATATTTTTTGAAAGCTTGTCCAATTTGTGCTTCTTAAATGTTCTTGGGTGTGGGGGCTGCTCTGGGGCATGGTCAGTCTATTAGGGGTTACATGCTCAGAGGAAACTGACTGCCTCTCTCAGCAGGTATCAAATGCCAAAGGATCCTCAGCTAGGGGAGGGCTTCATGCTCACCTCAAGGCTTCATGCTAAGATTCTGTGGGCTCCAGCTCGAACAGGCTGTGTGCACGCTGTCATGGCTGCTGTGAGTTCATTTGTGTAACTGCCCTACTGTAGCTGGGCAACACCGTTGCCTTGTAGTCAGCCATGGCCTTGGCTGTTAGTCTTTTCATCAGAGATCTCTGATACCCTGTTTGTAACTGAAAAAGGAGGGAGGGAGGGGGAGGGGGAGGCAGGGAGGGAAACAGCTAGAGAGAAACTTGGACTTGATTTTAATTGTCACACGTAAAGCAGCTGGAGGTGAAGGAGAGCTGGAGTTGGGACAGAGGGGACTTAAGCAGAAAACTTTCCCCAGGCAAAGGATGGGCATTGCCAGTGGCCCCTGGCAGGAGCCAAGTATTGCACATTTGACCATTTGCAGTCCACAGCTCTCTCTCATAGCTCTGAGCCCCTGATTTGTGTTCTGATTTAACAACCACAGTTTCAGCAAGGATGTTTGTGACAAGGAGCCTGGTATCGGAAGGCCTCACGAATCCCCAGGTGGGAGGGCTGCTGGATCTCTCCTAAGGGATGCTGGGACCTGGAGAGCTGATTCTTTTCTTTTCTTTTTAAAGTTTATTTGACTATGTTTATAATGTTTATAGCATGCAACTTTTTCCCTATAAGGTGCTGGAATTACCAGTCATGAGTGGCATCTAAATGCAATTATGTTTATTACCACATGGCTTTAAGTATCTTTTTTTTGTTTGTTTGTTTGTTTGTGCTTTTAAACTTTCTTTTTATTTTTTTGTGTCTTTCACATCATGTGTTTCCAGTTTCCATCCCGTTCATTCCCCCCTGTTTGTATCCACCTCTGCCCTTACAACCTTCCCCCAAAACTAAAATAAAATTTAAGAGAAAAAAAAGAGGAGAAAAAAAAAAAAAAGAAAAAAGAAAACAGAGAAGGAAAAACCGTTCTTGTTGTGGAAACTGAGTCACCCAGTAAACCCTTTTGTCCATGTATCTTTATTTACAAGTGATCATTACAAAGTCACTGGTCTGGTCCAGGCCTCTGGCTTCTGCTGCACTATGGATGCTGGGCCCTCGCAGGAACTCCTCTCGGATATCCTGCTGTTGCCCTGTATGGTGCAGATCCTGCAGCTTTGGGTCTGCAGGAGTGCTCCCTGCATGTGCTCACAGATCACAGAAGGGGTGGGTGTTGGGATGGACTAACTCCTAACCCTGGGTTGGTGGGGCCACCAGGAGAGTGGAATTTTTACTCACAGTACTCCACAGCCTTCAGGGTTGGTTCAGTCCTCCTCTGGTGTGGAAGCCCCCCACCTCCTCCACTGCCGAGCCCCCCTCCCCATCATCCCAGTGAACTCAGTGGCTGCTGTTCCCACACACCTGCATGGCTGTAACAGCTGAGGAGTGTGCTGACCCAGCTGCTACAGCTCCCCAGAGCTGTCTCAGCCATGCAGTCCAATCCCAGACAAAGGAAGTCTGGGAGCCTCTTCTCAGCTGTCTGGTTTGGGTCTGATATGTAATGGACTCTGGTGTCAAACGGATTGTTAGCCCCGGAACTTTATGATTTACTGGCTCACACTGTCATATGACTCCTCTTAGCAGGCGACCACCGGAAATGCCCCACTTCACACCCACAGGTCACCTGGAAGAGTAGGACTTCTTTTAATATAAGGAGCCCAGACTGATGGCTTTGAGTTCCCATTTCACCAAAGGAGAAGGAGTCTCACTCCAATTAGCTTGTACTGTAGGATAAATGACCGATACATCACATTCTCTTTAAAAGTATTTAGTCACTGTTCACTTAGCCACTGAGTCCCTAATGTGGTCACCCTGCTGGATTTGTGTGTGTGCATGTGTGCATGAGCATGCATGTGTGTATGAGTGTGTGTGTCCGTGTGCATGTTCATGTTGTCTTGTGTTGTGCTATGTGTGTGTGTTGCAAGTGTGTGTGTGTGTGTGTGTGTGTGTGTGTGTGTCATGCTCGCAAAGCCAGAGAATACTGTCAGTGACAGGAGGAAGAAATTGATTTAAATATGAGCTCTTTTGGAAAAGAAATACTAAGAGAAGAAAAGAACACACAGAGAATATGTTGGGGATTGTGGGGAAGATAAATACTGCATATTATTTCTCAAACGTCTTCCAACTCAGAACTGAAAAAGAAACAAAACAAAACAAACAAACAGAAAACAAAAACCAAGGCTAACCTGCTGAATCTCCAGCTTGGATGAAGAAAAAGTGTAACCAAATTTCATCTAGTATCTGGTCTCAAAAAGTATCTCTGGGACTAGGGAGATGGTACAGCCAGTAAGAGTTCAAGCATGAGGAGCTGCCAGATCCCCAGAACTTCCATGAAGAGCCAAGTGTTGTTGCACATGCTTGTGACACACGTGCTGGAGGATGGGGGGGGGAGGTCGCAGGACGGTTGCTGGGGCTTGCTGACTGACAGCAAGCTCCAAGTTCAGTAAAAGAACCTGTCTCCTCAAGGTTGAGGAGTAAGGTGCAGAGGGAGCAGGACATTCTCTGGCTTTGCGAGCATGAGACACACACACACACACACACACACACTCTTGCAACACACACATACCACAACATAAGACAACATGAACATGCACACGTACACACACACACTCATACATACATGCATGCTCATGCACACATGCACACACACACAAATACATGCAGACTCACACAAACACATGCAGACTCACACACACTTGCACATGATCTTGCAACACACACACCACAACACACACATATCATGAACATGCAAGTGTATACACACACACACACACTGGAGGCACAGCAGCTGCTGTTGTCCAGGCAGACTGATGGTTGAATAAGGAAGTCTGAGAAGGTCAGGTGGCCTGGCTAGATCCCCTGTTGATTTGCAGCTTAGATGAAGGACAGCCAACTTTATTACAAATAGCATTGCCCTGGAGCACCCAGCACTCAGTGATGGCACTGCCTACCTACTTTACAGTTCCAGGCAGCACATCCTTATTTATATCCTTACAGGAAGTCAGGACTAAGGGTCAATTCATAGGGTCATCTTGAGTCTTAACTCTTGGAATTTCAGCGTGGGCGTATGACACATGTTTCCTTGGAGAACAGTAGGAGGAGACCAGATTAAAGTTGTAGGTCTGGATTCTGCTGGGGAGGAGCTTGAGCTCCATTCCAAGAGTGCCCATGACCATCCGGAGAGCTTGGTTTGTCCCAAGGACATGGCTCAACCTCTGAACAATAAGCAATCAAGATGTGATAATCAGGAGGTCCGAATGGCTGCTGCCTTCCATGGGGGTTTGTTTTGATTAGAGACTGCACCTGGAAGTCAAGAGAAGTGAAAAAGGAATTTAGGAGTGTCCTGACCCCAAAGAATACAGAACCAGAAAACCAGGGCCATTAGTTAGGGGAGTGTGGTATCAAGGTAGGTGTCTTGGCCAAGTTCCTACAGCCAGCTCCAGAGATTCCCTGCTTCCCTTTGGTGGCTGTGGAAGAGGAAAGTAAGTTGCCAATAAGAGGCCAAGATGGCAGTAGAAAACACAAGTGCGGCCACGTCAGAGCGAGAGAGAGGTGCTTTACTCCCAGGCGCTGTATTTTAATTGTTATGTTAAGGGGGCCTGATTTCCTAAGACTTTTCCTGGCCTCAGTTGGGTTGGGTGCAGTGTGAGTAGGAAGGCGCGCCCCTGTGGCTTCCGAGGCTCAACCTCCCACCAAGCGGAAGGAAGGAATCCAGCGCGTCCTCCGCTCTCCGCCTCTCGCAGGGAACAGAGCTGCCCCAAGGCTTTCCTTAGCTCACCAGGCTCCGGGCTACGTGGGATGAGCTCCGGACCAAGCGCAATTGGGTGAATCCTCTTTAGAGTCCAGGCAGCCAGCCCCACAGAACCGGTGCGGCCCTTCCAGAGAGCTCTGCGTCTGTGTTGGCAGCGCCGCCGTGTTCGGCTCGGAGAGTTCCTCGCTGGACAGGACAAGGGGTCCCGCAACCCCTCCACCGGTCCAGGTAGAGCAGGTGGTGAGCAGCAGGCGCGGGCTGGTAGGCATCCCCCCTTCTGCGCACATCTCACGCGATTTCAGGGCGCCAAGTGGCCTCAGACCTTGCAGCCGGCAGTGCGCCCTGCTCAGCCCGGGTGCGTTCAACGTCACACAGGAGCTGCTCCGCTGGGGTCACTGGACTCTGTTTCTGCTTTCTGGGGATCCACTGGCTGAGCGAGAGACCCAGAGCTATATCTACACTCGGGCTTCTATAAATAGCGCTCGGGTGCCCTCTCGGCGCTGTCCCTCTTGACTGCTGAGCGCCAAGACAAAGTTGTACGCAGGGACACGGGAACCCAGGACAGTGGGCGCCCGCACCTTAGACTTGATCTGGAAATTTGGCGCTTTCGGTGCGGGGAGTCAGTTAAGCCGCCTACCTGCGTCGGAGTGACTCTGGTTTTGACCAAGCGCAACTGGGAGTCGCTAGCATTCTGGCCATGAACACCTCCTGGCGTTCTTCTCATCCCTGGAAACACCTCCTGACTCTGTAATTTGTTCCTGCGCCAGCCAAAGTCCCTAGGATAGGACCTACACCCACACCGCTTGGCACCTACTACCCTGGCGTTTCCTCGCTGAGTGCCCTGTCTTCTGCTCCGTGCTTTCCCCAGGAGTACTTGGGTTTGGGGTGAGGATTTATTTTGTTCCTTTCAGGTGTGATCGAGAGGGTCTGGAGACTTTTTAGATGTCAAGAGACAAGTGTGGCTGCAGGAGCCCCAGGCAAAACTGATTTTGGGGCGGAGGAGGTTTAGGATAGTGAGTTCTGCATGAGCTGCTTAAAGGACAAAGGTAACAGAACCAGCCAGACAGCTCAAAGGGAGACTTCAGCCCAGAGAATTGGTGGAAGTGTGCGCGCCGCCGCCACCGCCGCCGCCGCCTTTCCTGCAGCGCTGTCGATCTAGCCACTGGCATCTTCCCGAGCTCCGGGATTCCGGAGTAGCAGGCGCCGCCCGGAGCAGAAGCGCCAGGCTGCGGCTTGCGCACGCGGCTCACCATGGGCTCCGCGCACCAGGCGCTGTCCGTGGTACCGGCTGTTCTGCTGGTTCTCGCGCTGCCTGGGCTGCCTGTCTGGGCACAGAATGACACCGAACCGATCGTGCTGGAGGGCAAGTGTCTGGTTGTGTGCGACTCGAACCCAGCCACAGACTCCAAGGGATCATCTTCTTCCCCTTTGGGAATATCGGTCCGGGCAGCAAACTCCAAGGTGGCCTTTTCAGCGGTTCGGAGCACCAACCATGAGCCATCTGAGATGAGCAACAAGACACGCATCATTTACTTTGATCAGGTCAGACCCCAGAGGGACGCAGGGCGCCCAGCGGGTGGGTGGTCTCTGAATATCGGGAGCTTTCTGCTCAGATTAAGCTAGTATGATTAGGAAGTGGCAGGCACCTCCCTGAAGGTATCAATCTGAAACTTGAGCTGCCTCCCTTCCCCAACAACCGCAGCCCCCTTGGTGTCTAGCCGGAGGAGGCCTGCACGGTGGGGTGGCTGGGGACCGCTGAGGCAGGCACCTGGAGATCAAGACAAGTTTAGCAGCAACAGGTCATCCTGGGCTGAAGGGAATGCTGTCCCTGGATGCTGAGATCTATTGGCTCAACTTAGCAGCAGGTACCCTCCAGGTGTCCCTGAGGGGGCCCTGGAACACAGCCTGTAAATGTTTGAGTTGTGTTTCTAGGTTGAGGCTCATCTCTCCCAGGAACTATGGGACTCCACAAGCTGCAGGGACCCTGCCAGGTGGATGCAGAGGATTGGGGGGCAGTTCTGGTGTCAGAGATCAACTCCAGGGCTAGAAACTAGGGTCACTATGAAGGGCCCAGGGTGGCTGGATCAACACTACCCTGCCTGGCATATCAAAAGGTCCTCTCCCCACTACTTTACTCAAAAAAGTTGTCCACACAGGAAGAAGAAAGGGGGTTGGGTGAGTATACAGAGCCTGGGTAGGTAAGCGCCTAGGAGCTGGATTCCCCTTCCTCAGGGCATTGTAAGTTTCTGAGGAGGCACAGATTTTGAGGTTGTGGTAGCAAGGGGATGGGGCTGAATTGTTGATGGTGGAAGGTTCTGCTGAGTGGCCCAGTGCTTCCAGAACTGGAGAGATGAGCCACCTCATGGTACCAGTGTAGAGAAGCCCCCTGTGACAGAAGCCAAATGCCAGCGTTTTGTGCCCAACCCCAACAGTACAGGAAGGCTGTCGAATTCCAAAGTCACAGTTCACAGTTGTATGCAGAGCCCCGAGAAACAGGTTAAGTGGGGCTGCGTGATGTGTTGGAAAAGACTCTGGTGACATTTGTGCTCCTTACTTAATTCTAAGCAATACACTTGCCAGCTGGTCAGGGACAGAGATGTCTCCCCAGAGGCCTAGTATGGGATAGCTATAAATTTTTAAAAAATGAATCAAGTAGTCCCTTCGGAGATTTTGGTGCAGTATTTAACCAAGTGATGGAATGAAGTCATAACCTACTCTTGGTTGCTGCTTCAGCACATGGTCTAAACGTTGGAATCCTGTGGACATTGTGTTATCTTTGTTCTGGCATTCTTTTCAGTGACCTTCCCATCAATTAGGAGAGGAAAGGGATTTTTTTCTTTTGTTCAGGGAGCCATGCATCTTAGAGACAACAAGACACATTTAGTTAAGAATGTGGATGCTTCGGATACCCCGTGGAGTCCACAGCCAGCTTCATGTTTACTAACCAACACTAATCAGGTACCTCCATTCTGTTAGTGAAGGATGCTTCTTGTCCGTGAATCAGGAAGTCTTGGATAAACACCTTGCATTATTTTAAAATGTGCTGGGAGAAGATGCTTTTGTCTATGCTTTGCCAGAGAATCTTACCCAGCTGGTGACAGTGCTGTAGGAAGCCTGTCTGATCTCAGGTCAGAGAACAGAGAGCTGATGCTCGCTGGAAAGAGGCTCGGATCTCAGACAAATCGCACACATATTTGTATTTCCAGCAGGGCTGAGTCTTGTGCATTTACCTAAATGTTCTGGCTTCTAGTGTGCTGTGTAGAGGAGGTAATACACTTTGAGGAAATGATTCGGGAAGTGTGAATGTATTAATTTCCACAAGAAGACGATGTTTAAACCAGATATCAACAGACTGGTTCTGATAAGCAGAAAATATATCTCAAGAGACATATCTGACTTTTACGGATCTGTTCCTTGGTGAGACATGAAGGAAAGCCTCCTTGATTTGTTCTAGCTCTTACGCTCTCTCAGGAAGGAGCTTACCTCTGAGAAATTGAAATGCAACTGAGGGCTCACTAAAATTCAGAGTTAATGTTGTAACCAGGTTACACATCTTGGCATACAAGGTGTGCTATGGCTCCCTTACAAACAAACAACACTTAACTTCCCTTTTCCCTTTTGGCCCTTGAACTTCAAATGGATCTTAGATGACTGGTGGGATCAAACAAGACACTGAAGAACACAGAGAGGCACTTAGTTTGCCGTCTGCCACATCTGTGCCCTTCTCTTGGCATCCAGTCAGGGCTGACTCATCACCAATGTATTATGTTAAGGTTTACATGGTACATAAACAAAACAAATGGCCACTGGTCTGAGGAGAGCCCCAGCCCAGGCTTGGGGAAGAACCTGACTTTCCCATCTCTGTGGTACCAACTGTTGGTGTCATGAATTTTACCCCATGGTGGAGGGGGTCTGCTTCTGTGAGGTGTCCAGAGATTACTGCAGAGAGCCCACGGATGTGGATTGGCTGGCTGGGTAACGTCACTTCTGGACATTGGGAAGGCTCATAGACTGTGGGGATGTAGCTGTGCAGATGCCTTCTGTCTGGTTCTCTGTGTAAAGCCAGTACAACCCGTCATGTGTAGAACTGATGACCCTAGAGACAGCTGGCCTGGAAACTGAGGCATGAATACAACACAGCTGTTTTATTTTTATCTTTGCCTGTGCTATTTAAAAGGTTGAACGACCTTTCATTATGCACATCTGTTTTCTAAGTCACTTACGAGGGAAGAAATAGGATTAGCTGTTTTGTTCTCCATTGTTCCTGAAGGTAGTTATTGGAAAAGGAAAAAAGAGAGGAGGGGAAAAGGGAGAAGGAAGGAAAGAAGGGGGGGGGGGGAGAAGAGGAGGGCAGGAAGAGGGGATTTATTCAGTCGGAAATTATAGTAATTTACTGTTATTTATTCTTTTTATCTGTAGATCCTGGTTAATGTGGGCAATTTTTTCACATTGGAGTCTGTTTTTGTGGCACCAAGGAAAGGAATCTATAGTTTTAGTTTTCATGTAATTAAAGTCTACCAGAGCCAGACAATCCAGGTATGTGCTTTGACCTACATGTTCTCTGCTCCTGCGTTTAAGGATCCATTCAAGGATATGCTTGCATTGTAAAGAGAGTTGTCTACCCTTTCCATTTATTTTCAAAACATTTAATTTGCATTTTTTCCTTTACAACATCCATTTAGATATGTGACAAAGGCACATGGAAAAATAAGCAGTTGAGATTATTACCCTGGTTATAGCTTGTTGTAAAATAAAACAAAGCAAAACAAAGCTGGGCAAAACCTTTGACACAAATCTTTACAGAAGATCTTGATTTTTATCTCATGCCTGAATAAAAGTTGTTGGAACTTATAAGGAAAAATTATAAAACTTTACAAGTGGGAGTTAAATAAACAAAACAAGTTTGCTACCATTTAAAAAGAATGAGACTCAATAAACGATTGAAGCAAAACAACAACAACAACAACAAAACACAGGTTGGCAAAAGCTTTCATGACACAAATCTCTACAGAGGATCTTTATTATACCTCATGCTTGAACAAAAGTTATTCAGAGTTATAAGGGAAAAAATCTTAGAAAACATTACAAATAGACATTAAGTAAGCAAAACAAATTTGCTATCATTGCTCATAAAATTTATGAGAAGCAACTAGCCACTTCTCCGGAATGGCTACTAATGACGCCTTGCAGAGAGAATTGTTCTGAGTGCATCTGGGTGCTCTTGTCCCAGGAACTTCTTCCTAGTCACAGTTTGATGGTTAGCAATGCGTCTTGTGTTGTGCTTGCTCAGACAAGGTTGGTCTTACACATAAGAGCAGATGTAGAGATATCTGTTGTAGTATTAAAATATATCAATAGTAAACAATATGGTACGTGTATGTGGAATTCTAAGATATGTCGTATTGGATGTTTAGCATCTATGTTACATTTAATGCCTCTATGATTAAAACAGATGACATCTTCATCTGTCACTCTTTTTTTTTTTTTAATATCCCAGTGACTGGATCAATTGTCCAGCCTAAGATTGAATCTGTTCCATATTAATTTTAGCCTAGAAAAGGGGAGTGGGTAAAGATCACATCTGCTTCCCTGGAAACCCTGACATTTCAAATGACTTTCGTTGCTGCCAAGATTTCAGAAAAGAAAGACACCTACACAGATCTGGCTGTGTCCGACTTTGTCAGGTCCCAACATCGGGAAGCCACCTGTCCTCTTAATTACCGAAAGGTTGGTGCTGAGTGCATGAGGCCAGTAGGGTAGTTAGCCTTGTTTACATGCTGGAGGAAATCCTGTATTCACATGATTAGGTGGCTCTCTGGATGTCATTATTTTTGTAAGCGTCTAAGGAAATTTCTTTAGGAACACACACACACATTAAATATACAGAGAACACACACACACACACACACACACACACACACACATTAAATCTGACCCCATGTTTGTCCAGTCTGAAGGGAAAGGAGACCGTTCCTTGAATGACAAATGCTTGACCAGGTCACCTGTCTTACACTACTTCTAAGCACACGTTTTGATTTGAAGGGAGTTTTTCAGCGGCCATCTTTTTTTTTTTTTTCCTTCCAGGTTAACTTGATGTTAAATGGGAAACCAGTCATATCTGCCTTTGCTGGCGATAAAGATGTGACCCGAGAAGCCGCCACTAACGGAGTGCTCCTCTACCTGGACAAAGAAGATAAGGTTTATCTAAAACTGGAGAAAGGTAACTTGCTTGGCGGCTGGCAGTATTCCACGTTTTCTGGCTTTCTGGTGTTTCCTCTATAGAACTTGACTTCTCCATGACACCCATGAGTGAGGGCGGCCACCCCTGGGTTATCGGAAGACTACATTTCACCCTTGGATTGATGTCTTTTATTGTTTTTTTTTTTTTTTTTTTTTTTTTTTTTTTTGCTCATGAGGGACCATGGATCCTCTTTAAGGATTCTAGACTGGTCTGGACAAACACAAAGTGTCACAGATTATTTTCGTGTGTGTGTGTGAGTTTCCTTATGTGTGAACCAGGACTCCAAAGCTGGGAATCCCTAAATCTGCTTACTTCTTAATGGTCAGAAGCTGTCTGGAGGTTACTTATATTTAGTTTCCTGCTCATACTGCATTGGGGTTTTCATTTCTTTGTTTTTGAAAGACCGGCACGTGCGTCTGAAAGTTAGAAAACTCACAAGTTCTGACTGCGGTGGTTACTGTGGGACTGCCAAAGACTCGTGTATTGTGTGGACACATGGATTATATACTTGTTTTCTTTTCCTTTGTTTTTAATTACAATCACTTCAGAATTGGTCTGGTTTGTTCTCCTGAGGTAACTGGGATTGTACTCTAGTGACTGACATTGTGCTTTCTCTGTCCATAAGGTAACAAATGGCTTGCCTCAAAATGTTCCTTAACTCTGAGCTTACCCATATGACCTTCCTCCTGCTCCCTAAAATGAATGCTCCATAGTTATATTTTAATTGTATATGTGAAAGAGTCATATTTTCCAAATTATATTTTATAATAGGAAAAATAGATCATAATCTGACAAAGAAAACATTACTTACCCAATTCTAAGTGCTCAGTCCCTAAACCTTGGCAAAATAGCTCTCCTTGGTGGAAAATCTTACACTTTATTGTTCAACTTTAATTAATGTGATTGATAATAACCATCTTATTAAAACCATAGAGGATTATTTCCCCCTTTAACATGACCACTTTATTAACTGGAGATGGTATGCCCTTGTTTTTAATTATATCTATTTTTCAAATCTCCTGTTGTGTTAGAAATATCATCTGGTTTTGCCTTAATTCCTTAACTTGTATATACATATATATATTTATCTGTTCAGCTAATATTAAATCCAGATACTCCATAATGAAATTTAGTGCAATATCTTATTTTGTCTTTTGTATAGGTCATATGAATTCATAAAATTATTTATGTCTCTGTTGAAGAATAAAGATTATTATATGTTAGTGGGATGGTTGGTTTGTTCCTTTTGGTTCTGAAAATGTGTACTCTATGTAGTTTGTCTACCCCTCCAGGGTCTCCTTCCTTTCCTGTTCTTCCTCTACTCCCTACTTCCTTCCTTCCTTCCTTCCTTCCTTCCTTCCTTCCTTCCTTCCTTCCTTCTTCCCTCCCTTCTTTTAGTTTCTTCCTGGAGTTAAAAAAAAAAAAAACATACAAACAAAAAATCCTTCCTGAGTTTTCAGGTAATGTTCTTTGAGTTGGTATAGGAAATCTTTACTGTATTTAATCTGTCCAGATCCAGGAGTTGCAAGCTTGGCAAGAGGGAATCAATGAATTTAGCAATCTCTTCCTTCATAAGGGCGTGTGAGGAAAATGATGTTAGAAAAGCTCTCTTGAAATATCACAGGGCTGCTCCATGTGTGAGTGAGTGGTCAGCATCAAGGCTGCTAACTCTAAACTGGGGACTTCGGCAAAGGTTCCAACCTGCCCACAGCACTCCTCCTCAAAGAGGGAGACAATATTCCTGTGCCCCTGGGGGCTGGGGGGCTGTGGCCCTGCTGGTGGCAAGGGTCCTCTGGCAGGTGGCTGGAGCCACAGGAGCATGTTACAAAAAGACCCATACAAGTACAACTTCCAGAGTTGTGATTAATCTCCAAGCTAGGATGTTCAGTGCGCTCTAGGAAGATGCCTCTCTTTTCCTAGAAAAAAAACCTTTGGCAGATGCTGGCAACAGTCCCTAATGCAGGTTGTCCCCTGCTGGCTTTCAGTTAATAGCCCTGATTTTATAATTTGGAAAAACAAAACAAAAAACACGGTTGCATAGAGAGACAGCAAAGGTGTCTTTAGTCCTCAGGCCAGTGGTAACCTCTAACCATGCACGAACTCTGCCTAGAGATACTCCCACCCTGTCTATGCATACTGAGTCTACATCCAGACATCACAGCAGAAGAATTATAAGTGCATAGATCTGTTAGTCATTATTTTGGCAACATGAGTCAAGAGTATTGAATTGACCGACACCTATGGCATGATGGAGAAAGTTAGGTCAGTATATCAATGTATTTCACATATGGACTTATGGCCATCTTTGAAGGCTTGTCCTTTATCTTTCTTGACTTTTCTGACTGGTGAAGCTCTGAGCTTTAACTCCCAGGTTCTCGCATGTGCATCTCAGGGTGCAGAATCCATCGTGTACTGGGGGAAGATCTGAGACTGTGGCTATCAGATGTAGAGGTCTGTGATACTGGAGCCCAAGTGAAGAGACTGGGCCAGGATGAGAGCCACGGAGGCTCAACTCAACTAGGTTCTGGGAGGTTGGGAGCCATCACGGACACGTGAGAATGTGAAAATGGCACGAGAGAGCATAACCAAGAAGTGGGATGACTTAGTCCAGGAAGCACTGACTTTGGGTAGGTGCAGGATGCAGTCCTGTGACCTCCATTTGCTCCGTCACTCTGGCAGGTTCTTTTGCTTCTCTGAGCTTGAGTTACTTTATTTGTAGAGAGGAAGTAGTGGTCTGCAGTTGATCTGCAGTAAGAGGCAGGAAGTGCTTGGGGCATAACCAGAGCTGGAATCCCTAGTCCACCGACTCTTGTGATTCCCAGTATTTAAGGCCTTCAGATGGGCAGAACAACAAGAAAACCTATGGAGAGTATAGGATCGTCACTAGGAAGAGGGACCGTGGAGGGTATAAAGGCTGCCACAAGGAAGAGGGGACGCTGAGTTGAGATGGCGGAGGGACAAAGTATTGTCACACATTCTTCCACAGTTGGTGCCAGGTGCTGTCTGCGTGGTCTATAACTTGAAATATTGTTTCAAAAATTTGATGTGTGCGAAAAATGCACACTAATAGAGCCCTGTGTTTGCCTTGGCTCCTCACACTGGCAGGGCAGTGTGAACCCCCCTCCCTCCTAGACTCTTCCTATCTCCTGTTCCCTGAACAAATGCAAACAGTTGTTTGCAGCCAGCAGTTTCCTCCTGAAAGAAACTAAGCTGAAGGTACAAGCAGCCTGGCAAGGAGTCTGCCTGATTCCAGCAGCTTTGGGGGAGCTGCTCATGGTCCACTAATCTAATTACATTTAAAAATTTTAATTTATTATTATTATTATCGATTTAAGTTTATTCCCCTCTTCCTCTTGATTTTCAGCAATACTCTCTTGTATTCTTTTAGCCCCTAGCCTCTACTTTTAGCAAATTATTGCTTTAAGTTGTGTGTGCATGTTTGTCATGTGTGTACACATGTGTGTGCATGTGTATCATGTGTTCACCTGTATATGCATGTTTGTTCATCTGTGTGTGCATGTTTGTCTTGTGTGTACACCTGTGCATGCATGTGTATCACATGTGTTCACCTGTATGTGCATGTCTGTCATGTGTGTAGACCTGTATGTGTATGTTTATCTGTGTATTCACCTATATATGCATGTTTATCACATGTGTGTACATGTCTGTTATGTGTGTGCACATGGCTGTTGTGTGTATACACAGGTGTGCATGTTTGTACAGGTCAGAGGTTAACATTAGGTGTCTTCTTTGATTATTCTGACCTGGTTTATGACACAGAGTGTCTCACTGAACCCTGAGCTTGCCAGTTAGCTGGTCTAGCTGTCCACCAAGCCTCACTGAACATCCTGGCTCTACCTTCCTGGCACTGGGGTTATAGATGCATGCCACTGCACCTGGCTTTTTACCTGGCTCCTGGAGATCTGGACTCAGGCCCCTCATGCTTGTGTGGTATACATTTTACCCACTGAGCCATCTTCCCAGCCCCCGCTTTAGGATTTGAAGCAGTCATTGTCAGCTAACATAATGGATGAAGTTATCCTCATAATGGATCGTGGGCTGTGAGATCCCATGGTTGTGGCACGAGTGGCATCCTTTTCTCTTTGCCCTAAACACCAACAAAGCTAGACTTGTCACTTGAAATCATAGTAATCTGTAGATGTGGTCCCACCATGCATCCTACTGAGGGCCCTTGGCCTTACTGATCCCCCCAGGTACTGTATAAACCACTTGAGCAGTGGTCTCTTGAGCAGCAGTATCCATTGGGCTGAGCCAAGGCTCACACATCAGTTGACCTGGTGGCTACCAGAAGTGTTGATAACAGAGAGGTATGGCCATTGGTCCTCACACAGAGCCTTGGCTCAATTGTGGTCCTTGGTGACTGTCCAGTAGAGGAGGAGAGGGGAGGATTGAATAGGTTGGCATCTAGCTAGGTGGGTTTTATCTCTTCCTAATGCAGTTCATCTTTTAGTGTGGCTTTCCAGATTAAAATCGCTTCTAGGACTTGGTGGTGCTGAAAACCCCTCACATGTGGCTGGAGAGCTGGAGCAATGGTTCAGAGCACTTTGGCTCTCCTAGCAGATCCAGGTTCAGTTCCCAGCACCATCTGTCTGTAACTACAGTCCCTGGGGATCTGATGCCCTTTTCTGACCTCTGAGTGTACTGCATGTACATGGTGCCCAAACATATGTGCAGACACCCATACACATAAAATAAAATGAATAAATCTAAAAAAAAAATAGTAAACCTCTTGACAAGAACAGAAACCCTTTCTAAAATAATGCAGCTGGGTAGGTCTGGTGGGGAGTCTCGGGCCCACCTCCAGGGTTTCAGGCAGGCTCAGAGACTGTAGGTGCTATAGTAGGTAGAATGTAGTATGATGTAGTAGGCCGTAGAAATGATGATGGAAGTCTGCTGTCCTGTAGCACCCAAGCCAGCAGCAGCAGCAGCTGAGGATGCAGGGGGCAGCTGCTACAGGTATGGAAGCACAAGGCCTTCCCCAGTCTACTCCATCAAAGTCAACATCTGACCAAGGTCCCAGATGATTCTTACATGTGTTAGCTTGGAAAGCTGATGAAAGAGTTTGGGATCAAGGT